GCCGCCCCCACCAAAAAAAAAGATGCTCCTCTGTAAAGGACGGAAAGCTGAGCAGCAGGTACTTGACAGTCCAGAGGGAGCTTCAGTTAAATTATTTTTTGAAGATATCAAAATTAGCAAAAATAATTGTAATTACCCCACATCCCATCCCTCTGTGTACAATAAAAATAGAGCAACATTGGCAATTAGACATGTGCAATTTGTTTCGGAAAAAAAATTATTTTCGGACAAATTTTCCTTATTTGGAGATTCAGATGCATCCGAACATTTTGGACAAAATTAGTTAGCGGTAGTCTGTATGAATTTTCGTTTGTGGATAGATTTTCGTTGCAGCAAAGTGACATTCATTTTTTTTTTTACATTCTGCAGAAGAGAAAAAAAAAAGTGTGTGGTTCCCCTCAAGTGATACCAGACGCTTTAGGTCTGGTAGGAGGGTAAAGAGGAACCCCCCCAGTAAAAAAAAAAAATGTGTGGGGGTTCCTCCCCAAATTCATACCAGGCCCTTTAGGTCTGGTAGGAATTTTAATGGGGAACCCCAGCCCCCAAAAATGGAGGGGGGACATGGGTTCCCCCCTAAATTCCGACCAGGCCCTTGATCCGAGCACAGGCCCGGCAGGCAGGAAGGGGGGGAGCGATTAAGCCCCCCCCCCTGCGCCTTACCTGGCCACGTGCCCTCTGCATTGGGAGGGTGTCCCCATGCCGATGGAGACAAGGGCCTCTTCCCCACAACCCTGACCCAGTAGTTGTGGTGGTCTGCGGGCAGGGGGGCTTATTTGCATCGGGTACCCCTACTCATTCACTAAAGGGTTACAATTCAATGTAAATAAACAAACCACACTTTCAGAAAAATCCTTTAATGAAAAAAAAAAACCAGAGTCAATTTTTGACTATTCCTTTAATTTACCAAAAAAATGGCTCCATCGATGTAATCCAGCGTCAATCACGATGCTATTTGTGAGCTCCCGAATGCCATTTGGGTCTGTGAGCCAAGGTGTCATATGAATAGTATTATGACACCTCGGCTCACAGACCTGAATGGTATGTGGTATTTGACAGCTGAGAATGTCAAAAGGGGCAGAGCGAGCCATGATGTCACGGCTCGCTCCACCCATCTGTTGTAAGAGTAGATAGAAACTTACATAAAAAATTCCCCCAAGCACAAGGAAATCCCACAATGGGGCAGGATCACTAGTAATGATTATAGTATCAACATAATTGTTTTAACACAATTTCATTTCTTATAGTAGAAAAATAAACCACACATTACTAACAGTTAAAATCCTAAAAAAAACTACAAAGCTTCCCTACAATGGCTCGTTGGTAGGTAAAATTGATTAATGGTGTTATAGTTACCCTACACGGGCGTGGAAAGGCCAGAGATAATAAGTGTTGATTTGTCCTTGTCTTAAACATTTCTTCCATTCGGCATTTATTTGTAACACTCCAAAGGTCAATAAGTTTCACCGCAAGATGGTATAAAGTAGAGTTTGTGTGGAGTGAAGATGAACAACATCAGTTTGAGGACTAAGGAACACACAGATTGCTTTGGGAGTTAAGATTAACCCCACAATATCCCTTGGTGCTTGAATCAGCTTGCTGCCGTTTCAGGACGAAAACCATTCCTGATGTGTCTGTTGATTGTACGGTCATACTTGTCAAAAATGAGAGAGATTTAAAGTCATTCCTTGGATCCCAGACACTTGACGTCCAGACCACTGATGCAGTTTCAGCCCTTAGATAGAAAAGGCAGTATATCAGTAAGCTCCGTATAGCGGCATTACACCATCTATTCACATGTGATGTGAGCCAAGGGAGGAAGCCGGGAACATGCTAACCCTGACGCGTTTCCCCCCCACATGGGACTTCTTCAGAGGGGCGTGACTTACCACACTGCAAAGGTGGTTTTTATATCCCAACAGGTTCATTAAATTAATCATTTTGCGTTCCAAATTGAGTATGTTGAATTGGAGGGTAGCACTCCTGCTTGCGTTCCATTAATTATCATGTGAACGGTATTGGTTAAATAGTTAATCTTTTTCAAGATCAATATCCACTTCATAAGAGCAGTCCATGTTTATATTTCAGGGGCAGTACAGTGACAATTGTATTTGTTCATAAGTGGGAAGGCTAACTTGTTAGCCGGTATTTGTGGGAGAGGTTCGCGCGCCCACGGCGCTTAAAAGAGGGCAGGCCGAGGCTACAGGGACATGCGGTTCTCGACTCAACCACATCGTGACGTTCTCACATAGCGTCCGGCTGAGGTTTTCGTCATTTCCGGTCTAGTCTTTTCGTCACTTCCGGAGCGTCGGCTGTGGAGCAGGTATCACGGCGTGCACTGGCTGGCTTTCTACCGATCAACCCCTCCGTTCTGGCCTCACAATTTTCGTATCTCTCGGCAGAAGTGGAGGTATTATTGCGGCACAGGATTTCGAGCGGTGGTTTGTTAAACAGGCAGTCGCGGGCAGAAGCAGGTACCACTCATGGCATAATCTAGTTGAGGAGGCACTGTTCACATTAATGCATGGCAAAACATCTGTGTATCCTTGTACAGGTCATTTCATGTGCAGAGCAAGACAGGCTGGGTAAACTGGGAAACATGTCAGGGCTCAGCATTTTGTTGTCACATATTCATAAATAGTACCCTGTTAACCCAGACATATGGCATATGGTTTACGACCATCAAACCTGTTGGGAAAAATTACCAAATAGATCAAACATGGTGGCATTTGGGCAGTCGGATGGTAAAAACTGGCACATAAGTAAAGGTCAGCAGGGGACAGCTTAAGTAAGCACACGGCAGCACAGTGTAAAAAATGTTACAAATCACTTCTCA